TCAATCAATCAATCAATCAATCAATCAATCAATCAATCAATAAAAAAAAAACCATCGATCAATCAATCAATCAATCAATGATTAAAAAAAACAATCAATAAATGAATATTTATTGTTTTTTATTTTTTAATATTTTTCTGCTACCTATCAAAAACAACCTTCCCAAATTTTTGATTTTTTTTTTTTTTTAATGCCGGCCGACAGCGGCCGACGTGCGCAGCCCGAGCGCGCGTCCCCGCCTGGGCGTGGCGCAGCCGCGCGCGGACTCGGCCGCGGGCCCGCGGCCTAGGATCCTGGCCGCGGACTCGGATTCTGCGGCCGCGACCCAGGGTGCCACGTAGCTGTTAAGGGCAAGTACAATGTAGTTGCGGATGCTCTGAGTAGGAGATCAGACTACTTTGGAGCTTTAGTTCACTATCTGAACATAGGGAGCGACCTGCAAGAGAAAGTTAGACAGGCATATGCGCAGGACCCTATCTATAGTGACCTCCTCAAGAGAGTCAAGGAGGCCCCAGAGACCGAGCCAGATTACCGCACTACAGAGGGTTTGTTATTCGAGAAGACTAATGTAGTAGAACGCCTGTGCATTCCCAATAGTGAGGAAATCCGAAGTTTGATCTTAGGGGAATGCCATGATACAGAGGGACACTTCGGTTGCCAAAAGACTTTAGCCAATCTTATGCACGCGTACACATGGCCAGGAATGAAAAACGACTGCATAGAGTATGTCCGCAGTTGTAAAGTCTGTCAGAGGAACAAGACTCCAGGCTTGCCCCTCTAGGTCTTCTCAGACCCTTGCCCATTCCAGACCAGCCTGGAGATTCAATCTCCATTGACTTCATGGATGCCGGCGTCAAGAGTAGCCACGGCAAGACCCAAGTCGTGGATGTAGTTGATAGATTTAGCAAGTATGCTATTTTCGTTCCTTCGACTGCAGAGGCACGCACAGACTTAGTAATACAGAAGTTCTTTGATTTTTGGGTTAGTGAGCATGGAGTCCCATTGTCCATAGTTAGCGATAGAGATAGTCGCTTCACTAGCCAGAACTGGCAGGAACTCATGAGAGTCTATGGGTCAAAGTTGCTGATGTCGTCTGGCCGCCATCCAGAGACTAACGGTCAGACAGAGCAGATGAACAAGATCCTGCAGCAAGTTCTGTGCATGTACATTAGACCCGATCAGATTAACTGAGACGAGATGTTACCCAAGGTAGCCAGCGCATACAATAATAGTGTACATGTGTCTACTTGTCGCACTCCCAACGAGTTACACAAGTCCTTTAGACCATGTAGACCGTTTGAAGGACTGAACCTGGATCAGATTCACAGGCTACCGCCCAATACCAGTGAGTTCGCGATACTGCATGAGAAAGAGATAGCCACTGTTGTTGAAAACCTCAGGAAGGCCCAGAACCGAATGATAGAACATGCTCGCCCATTGCAGTTTCAGGTAGGCGACCTGGTCTGGGTCAAGTCTAAAGAGTTTGCACCTGAGGAGAACATCTCGCAGAAGTTACTGCCCACGTATAGAGGACCGTGGCCAGTTCTAGAAGTTAAGGGCGAAGAGGATGGGCCGTCCTATACCATAGAGATCCCAGCACACCTCACGCCTACCCTGTGTTTCACGCATCAAAGTTGCTGCCGTGTGTCACCAGTCAACAGTTTCCATCTAGACGGTCCATGATCCCTCCAGACATGGACGGAACATTTGACATTGACGGCATTGTAGGTGAAGACGTGTTCAGAACAGGAGGTAGAGGTCGTCCACAGAAACAGTATAAGGTCCGGTTTGCTTATCAGGAGCCAGAAACTTCTAGAGACAGCTCCCGATATAGTTAGAGCCTACGAAAGAGATCAGAGAGGTAAAGGTCCTGCCTTGGACAGATCCCAGGGCTCGATCCCCAGTCCGCACCTTACCTTTGTACAGTATTTGTGTCGACCCTCAGAGTTGAACCTGTGACCTGTGTAGTTGTAACAGTTGGTAGGTTGTCATAGGGTCCATAGGTAGCGGGGGTTCGATCTGTAGACCTGTCAAGTAGCAGTTCTAGTCAGGTCTAGCAGTCGTAGCTGTAGCTGTCTCGAAGGGYCRAGGTCGTAGCTGCTACAGTCCGGAAAGGTCAAGGTCGTAGCTGCTACAGTAACGAAAGGCCAAGTCTATGGCCTTCCGGAAGGTCCCAGTAGTGGCCTTTCGAAGTTGCCCACGTTTAGGCTGAGGCAAGTGGGCAAGTGGTGAGGCAAGTGGGCAAGTGGTGGAAGTCTACTGTGCTGAGTCAACAGTCCCAGTCCCCAGTCAGTCCTTGTCCAGTCAAGCAAGTACCGCATGGAACTGTGTGCACTTCGGGCATGGGAAATGGCCAGACCAACGAGCTGCAGAAGTATAAATCAAGAGGCAGTGCCCCGTCATTCATGCATTCCTGCGTGAGCCATGCAGAAGCGCTGCCACAAGCGACTTGTGCAAGGAGGTCTGCAGTGAGTCCGAGGACGAAGTGGATGAGAGAGGAGTTAGCCATAGCGATAGGGTAGTTGCGGCCATAGCCGCCATAGCAGTAGTTAGAGTTCAGTGTGTGAGTGTGTGAGAGTGAACAGAGTATCACGCGTGGGATATCCAGGGTGATCATGTGTATGCGAACAGAGAGCTGTGTGGGCGCTGTGTCGCCATAGCCATTTGAAGTGAACCCGTATCTGAGTTGCGTTCTTGGTTGCCATATCTCTGAGTTAAGGCGCTTGTCGCCAGTCCGCCGCGCTACTGTTTGCATGCCTGTAAAGTGTGAGTGAAAGTGAATCTGATTGCATGATGATAGGCGTGAGTATGAAGAAACACCAGCAGAAAAAAAAAACGCTGACAGCCCGTTGTTCATCGAGTTTAAACAATCCATTCACAGATTTTACTCAATGCGTTCACCATCTTGATGACTGGACGAAGGCTCCGTTGAGAGGAATTCTTGTGGAGTTTACGAACAACGTGAGAATCAAAATAACTCGGATGATCATCAACTTTGCATTTGATTTCGACGCTAATCTTATGTGCATTTCGTGTTGGCGTCACCAATCCCAGCCCGTGCAAGATATGAGAGAGGAGATATGCTGGTCTGGCGACAGCCCCACCAGTAGAATGGAGATTGGAATTATTAAAAGAAAGCAATAAGATAGCAATAGAGTGACAGGAGCAGCTCCAGACATGAAGAGACGGAGGTATAGCAGCAGACAAGAATGGCAAAAAAGGTATGTGATAGAGAATGAGCCCTCACAGGACATAGTGATATCACACAGTCAATATTTCCTCACCTCTTTCCCTTCTTGCCTTTTGACATTTAGAATCGTCGACCCGGCACTCGTCGTAAGGACAGGCATGCATCCATGACGGGAAGATCATGCCCCGAAGATTACTAACCCACTTGGATCCATCTTTGCCCTGTTTTTCTCGCCATCTCTACCTCCCTCATTCTACCGTTCTCTTGATGTACTACCCTCTTCATCCTCTCTCACTCTACGGGGTGCATCAGGTCATTCATGATCGTCAAATGTGCCCTCTCTCTCTCTCTCTCTCTCTCTCTCTCTCTCTCTCTCTCTCTCTCTCTCTCTCTCTCTCTCTCTCTCTCTCTCTCAATCCATATATCTATCTATCTATTTATCTATCTGTGTGTGTGTGTGTGTGTATGTTCATGTAAATGTTTATGTTTGTAAAAAAACACACAGCTAGCCCCTCAACATCCCCGCACACATATACCCAATGCATGGTAGGATGACGTTACAGCAATAATGCCTTGCGGTAAGAGAAGACCCCAAAAGATACTTACAATTTCCATCCATCCACCCAGATAATCTCCTCTTCGTCCCAACTCAGACCGCCTTCCAGATGCGGCCATCCTTTGCTCTTCTTCCTGAAGACTCCTGGCCAGAGCTTCATCCATCTACGAAAGCATAACAAAACAGCAAAGAAGGCCAGCCATTTGCAGCGCATTGTAAGCAGACAGGCTTACATGCATAAATTCCTTGCGCTCTTACTCCTCTCTTATTATGGCACTGTCTACGACATTACACAATCTTTTCACAAGTATGCATTAAGACAGCATTAAAGCTTCTGGACTTAACAGTTGATGCAGAACTTTTTCAGCTGTAAATCACAACATACAAATCTGCCTCATTCGGCAGTTTTCCACAGACATCGCACGCTGACCTACTACATCAACCAGTGACCTGGTCCCATCCCAAGCGATCGTACATTCATGTGCTACATAAACCAGTCAGCAGGTGACTGATTCATGTAGAAGGTGGACATACCATGTCTTAGGAAGGGACTTGACAGCCCAACAATCATAAAGATGATCAGCACCAGCTAAACAACAAGTCCGTCATTGTGACTGGTTAATGATGTCCAATCAGCTGCGTACCCATCAGTGGAGGGATTGCGACAGCCGAATGCCACACATGCACTTGACCTCCATGAACAACGATAATGTAGAACATCATATGTAAGGCGCTGAGCTGGCAGCAGACATATTGCACACAAAAAGTATCTAATTACCGGAACCCCCCAAACTTGCCCATTCCAGCAAAGTTTCACAAGCATGTCCTCTCGATGTTATCAGGAGAAAGCACTCGAGAACAACGAAAGAGAGAAACCACACCCATCCTACTCTCAGAGAATAAAATGGGCAAGGAGAACTCTGTCCAAGTCACACCTCATCCAAAATACAAAACATGTAGGGGGAGGAGTCTCACCGCATAACTGTTGTCAGAAGCAGCCGCTTCTTCTGCTTCTTGAAGTTCCCGTGCAAGTCTCTCATCAGCTTCTAACTGTGCCTCCCTAGAAGCGGAAGCTTCGCCCACATTGCTTTGGACCAACCTTCCACTTTCCACTCTCCTCCTCCGCACTTCTCTCCCCACACTCCCCACCACCTCTTCCAAATCCTCCCACCGGTGACGACTTCTCGCTTGGCCGCGAGTTACTGGTCCTGTGTCTGTGCTCCGCTGGCTGTCCTGGGAGTGATCATTCGTGAATTGATCTCTGAGTCTCCAGGTTTCCCTGAAACGCCTGAGATGGAAGCCAGTTTCTTCTTCTTCATCCCTCAAATCTTCAACTGTCTGTGTCCTCAGTCTTTGGGATTGGTCAACCATCGTTTGATCCCTGAACCTCCACCCATCCCTGAGTCGCCTGAGTCTCAACCCAGATTCACCTTCATCATCCCTGAACTCCTCAACTGACTGTGCCCTCAACCTTGCACTGGCTCGGGTGCTCCGAAGCCTGGTGATATGCTCACTGGAGTCACCATCCCTGTAGCGCCTGAGACCAATGCCAGTTTCAGCATCGTCATCCCTCAACTCTTCAACAGACCGGGCCTGCAGTCTTGCCCTGGTTCGGCTACTGCGCAGCCTGGTGCTAGGCTCGCCCTCATCATCCCTAGAAGCGACTTCAGCAGACCCCCTACCCCTGCTCCCAAAGAAGTCTCTGAAATCGGTCTGTCCAGATACCCTCCCGCCTGCTGCCACCACATCCGACGGAGGAGGATTGCTATCAAATCGAAAGCCAGTCCTGCTTGCACCCTCACCTCCGACCTCACTGTCGAGGATGCCATCCTCCAATGCAATAGAATGTGATGGGCTCACTCGTGCAGCAGATGACAAATCCACCCTATCCACTCTTGCCCAGGGGCCTATCAATGGCTGTTGACCCTCAGCATTGTCAGACTGGTCCTCCACCCTTGCTTGACGGCTTGATGATTCACCTCCAGAGCCGAAAGGTCCACGGCAAAGGGTGTGCCTTGTTGTCCGCGGCCTCTTCACTCTGTTCATGGAAATATCATTTGTCAAGAAGTGAAGGTCAGTTGATCTCTCTCTCTCTCTCTCTCTCTCTCTCTCTCTCTCTCTCTCTCTCTCTCTCTCTCTCACACACACACACACACACACACACACACACAC